GCGCCCCTGGCCGTGGGGGAGCGCATGGGGTGCGTGTGTCCGTGCTCGGGTGGAGCTGTGCAGGGTGTGTGCACGGACAGGTGTGGGGGAGCACGCAGGGAATGAGGTGTATTTGGGGTGGGAGTACCCCAGCAGTGTAGAAGAATGAGTAGGTCGTGCACCAACAGCTGTGGAGGAGTCCATGGGATGGGATCACCCACAGCTGCAGAGGAGGACACGAGGTGGGATCACCCACAGCTGCAGAGGAGGGCACAGGGTGGGATCACCCACAGCTGCAGAGGAGGGCAAAAGGTGGGATCACCCACAGCTGCAGAGGAGGGCACAGGGGGGGATCACCCACAGCTGCAGAGGAGGACACAGGGTGGGATCACCCACAGCTGCAGAGGAGGGCACGAGGTGGGATCACCCACAGCTGCAGAGGAGGGCACGAGGTGGGATCACCCACAGCTGCAGAGGAGGGCACAGGGGGGGATCACCCACAGCTATGGAGTACACAAAATGTATGCACTCATAGTCATGGAAGGTCATGCTGGTTGGGAGTGCCCACAGCCATGTGAGAACACCCATAGAGCATACAACTGTTGCATGCACCCACAGCTGTGGAGGGGTGTATGGGATCAGAGCACCCGTGGCAGTAGAGAAACAGAGGGTGGGAGCACCCACAGCCCCAAAGGAGTGTGTGGGGTCGTGCACCTTTGGCTGTGGAAGAGCACGTGGGATGCCTGCACCCACACTCGTGTGGAAGCAGAAAGGGTGTGTGCACCCACAGCCATGCAGGAGTTTGCACGAGATATCTTATAGAGTGCTTAGTGACATGTGCAGTACACAGAGCAGATGGTCAAGTGGTGGGATCGTGTCCTCCTCCAGCGGTGGCTCAAGCAAATATGAGAGTAACTGAGCAGAGATTTCTCCTTTAGTTTAAACGCCCTGTGATTTTGATCCCTGCTGACAACTATGAAAGCTATACATCCAGACAACTGCATGCTATGGATATGCTATCAAAGCCCAGATCTGCATTAGGTCCTAAGTTTTCCTTCTGTTTCTTTCCTTCCCCCCTCCCCCCAGTTTAACTCTTTAGTACTGATCATCCAGAGAAGTGGACAATTGGAGAACAAACAGCTCAGAAATCAAAGGGCTGTCATGTTCCCCTGTGTAGAAAACCCTTCAGAGAGCCTCCCCCTGCCTTTTCAGCGCCCCGGCTGCCCCCCGTCCCTCCAGCAGCCAGCCGGCACCCTGCTCCTCTGCTATTCATGGCCAGCCTGCAGCTGCAGCTCCTCTCCTAGGCTGACACAGCAGCAGCTGCTATGTGTGTGCCAGCTGGCTAGCCGCTCTCCAAAATCCTCTTGTCCGCCCCGCTCCCCTTGCTTTCCTGCTTCCCTACCTACGGACCTGCTTCTTCTTCCCCACCCACGTCTCTCACTGGCCCCAATCTGCTCCGGTTTCCTACCTCCCCACTGTCCTGAGCCTACCCTTCTGTTGTCCTGATTCACCTCACTTGCTCTCCGGGAAGCATCCCCTACTTTCCCTCTCATGCCTCCTGAGCTCAAACAGGAGCTCTCTGAAGTGGAGCAGGGAATATTGCTTTTAATTATTTCATGTGTCCTGTCTTTGAAATTGTGCCTCCCAACATAACTGCATTCAAGCATTTTTTTGGTTAAGATAACCTCTGGTACAACCACCTATAGAAGGCGGCAAAGGGAGAGCGGGGGGAGCTGAGAGAGGGCCAGGACCTTGGTTTAAGGTGGTGTTTTAAAGCCACTACGTTTTGCTAATCAGAAGCTTTGCTGGGTCCCTACCCTTGCCCAGCTGTGCTGCTTGCTGGCTTCCAAATAGACAGGCAAATGCTCTTTATTTTTTAATTACTTTTTCTGGTGGCTGAAGGGAAGGAGTTTCTTAGACCAGCTTTCTGCATAACTATTATTTTGAGGTGGATGGCAGCCAAAAATGTTTTGCAAGACAGGTATTTTGTTTGCATGTAACATCATAAACAAACAGAAAACCTCATCATCTACCTTCAGCATTATGCGGTCAATATGCCTGTGAAGGAAGGCATATTTTTTATCACCAAGCTAAGCAAATGTAATACAGAAAGAAAGATGATCCAGTAGTTACAGCATATGCTCAGTCTCTGCAGAGCCAAGCTCGGTTACCTGCTGTATCACAGAATTTCTTTGTTACCTTGAGCACACTGCATGGTCTTTTTGTGCTTTTGTTTCCCCTTTGTAAGTACTCTACAGGACTCAAAAACTCTGGTGCCATTTAAAAATGCCTTTTCCCGCTGTAACCTGACTTCACAAAAGCAGAGATGGGAGGTGCAGCTATTTCCAGGCATTCTCTTTGCTCAGGGAAATTTTGGTTTTATTCTTCGTGCTGCAGCCCCATTTGCAGCCTGAACTCCTTAGTTTTCTCACTGTGGTTACTATTATTTCTCAAGTGCCGTGGACATTCGCTCTATTCTTCCGCAGGTAGGCAAAGTTGCTCATTATAGTTATGCACAGATAGTGATGGTTTTCAGCAAATGCAGCAAAAATATTTCTTAACATAGGGAAGTTTGAGGGTTTTTTTAAAAGCCCAGTAGCCGGATCTGGAGAGGAATGCTGAGTAAGGCTAATAGGACCTATCCCTTGCAGCTTGGACAACCCACATCAGACCACCCCTGAAGGACCAACCCTGAAGAGGGGACAGTCCAGCCTCCCACATATTCCCTGCCTTCCCATGGAGGCTGCTTCTCACTGGCATTTTGGGTGAGATAAAAGTTAGACATGATGAAAAGTCCTGTTCAGCCTTTGAGGTGCCTTGGACACTTCCAACAAGCCAGTGAACTCTTCTGCATCCAGGTGTGCAGTGGCAGGATTTTCCCACCCCTTGCTCCAGCATTTCCCAGGCTCTGGAGCTCTGCTGCAGGATAGCTCATGGGACAGGGCTTCCCCAGCTCTGAGCAAGCCTGCTGGAGACGGCTGGTTCCATAACTCATTCCCAATCAGCTGCTCTCTCCAAGACTCGCTGGAGGCCCTGGCTGCCAAGTGTAACGTGTCTCCTCTTACACCCACACCTGCAGCCCTGCCTGCTGTCACCCAACCCGCCGTCATTCCCAGCCACCCTGCATCTGGCTGCACCCCATGCCGGCAGCCATCCCTTCTCCAGTGAGTGAGGCCAGGACACCTCCTTCCTTGCTGCGGGATCATCCTCCCTTCACCTTCCCCAAAGAGGGGTCCCTGTGCCCTCAGGTTGAGTCGCAGGGCATCTGTGCATCCCGTGCAGGCAGACACCTGCCTGCTCCTCAGAGGAAGCAGATAGAATTTTTCCCATGCCAAGCACAAGCTCTGAGGTGCCCTTCTTTTACTCTCTTCCCACCAAAACAGGAGCTATCAAGATCCAGCTAAAGAAAACATAAATATCCTCCCATTGCTGCTTCCTCCTGCTCCTGCTGGCTCTTTCTCCAGCAACCCTGCTCAGGGTAGCAAGCGGGAATGGAGGGCTGTGCATGAGAGAGGGGCAGAAACAGGGCTGAGTTCACTGGGCTTTGAGCTTGCAGTCTGCAGTTACTCATCCTGCACAAGGGACGGGACTGGAGAACATTGGTCCCTCTGGCAGGGGAGGGACAAGCTCACCGCCAGTCTCGAGCAGGGTGGAGTGCCGGCAGCCCACACCTCCTCATTCCCAGTGCTCTGGGCCAGGATTTCTGCTTCTGTGCTCTGGCTGTGCACTTGCGCTAAGTTTATGCCTGTATGCAAATCCTATGCTCATTAGATCTTTTGCATAAAACACCCCCAGAGGATCACAGCAGCCAGGAAGGCAGAGGGTTTAGTTTATCCATTTGCCTTCTAGAATGCAGAGGTTTAGGGATGTAATTTGTCAATATGCATGTGGATATGGATATGGACATATATCTCATTTACCCAGGCCAGAATGCATACACTTGGGAAAGTTAAAGGCAAGAAGATAATTTTGGATGTCGTCCATCTGAAATTTGGCAGGGTAGGAGTTAACCCTCCCTTTCTGGCCAGAACAGCTACAGCTGCCTGTCCTGAGAGCAAGATATTGCAGGACAGAACCAGCTGTGAAGAATTAATTTCTCTCCTTCCTCCTTCATGAGAAGCCTTGTGGGCTGGGGCTAACAGTATGAATGGACAAGACTGCTCAGGAAGAGAGCTAGAGGGTAACCAGAGGAGAAGGATTTTTTCCTTCTCCTTTCTTTGTGGA